GCAAGGCAGACCCGTCAGTCGCACACCTACAGACGTCAACACACAGTGCGGCTGTGCTGAGACGCAGCGAGTGTGCCTCACGCTCGCTGAGACACAGGCACCAACCCACAGTGCGGCTGTGCTAACACGCACACGGCAGGCGCCAGGCGAGCTACAGGTCAGACCTACAGAGCCACTCTGGGACCGGCCTAACACGCAAAGAAAAGAAGGAGAGATACGGACGGTAGGCGTTCCATAGGAAAAAAATAGAAAATCACAAACACACACACACACACACACACACACACACACACACACCCACACACAGACACACACCCACCTGTGGCCACCCATGACGTGACCTCCAACTTAGAGGTCCCCTGTAATTTGACCATTCCCTTCTAGGCTATTGCCATTAGTCTTAACTCCTTAAACCCTGAGTTTTTGCCACCGTTTCCCGAAGTATTTTTTCTACAGTCACCTAAACTTGGTGTGCTACGTCTCATTAGAACCCCAAAAGCTTGCTTCCAACTTCTAAATGGCGGAAACAAAGGCTTAGTCATTAGTTGTTTTTTTAAACGTGGTTCGAGAATAGTTCCAAAAAACAAATAAAAACTAGCACAAAATTAAATGAAACAGTTGTCACTAGTATCTGACACCCTCAGCGTCTGATGGGGAACAGGTTTATTATCACCGGACACTCCCAGCATCTGATGGGAACAGGTTTATTACCACCGGACACTCCCAGCGTCTGATGGGGAACGGGTTTATTACCACCGGACACTCCCAGCGTCTGATGGGGAATAGGTTTATTACCACCGGACACTCCTAGCGTCTGATGGGGTTTCAAGAGTTAAGGGCCCCTCAGAATCCCCCCTGAGACAGTTTACCTTGAGGGAGGAGAGGATCCGGTCGTGGTACTTGGTGTACTCCCTGACCCACGAGTTGCAGTTGTAGATGTAGGCCGCCGTGATGTTCTGGTACACGTTCTCCGGCATCACCACAAACCACTTGTTCAGGAAGTCCGTCTGGAATGAAGACGAGACTCATTCTACACTCTCGGATAGCATTATAGCAGTTACCACTTCTCTTGAATTGATCATTTTATGTTGAGGTTCAAAGTAGCAATGCGGTGCTCAGAAGAACCAAGTAAGACTGGACTGGGTCGCCAACTTGTGGGTATGATTACCCGAATATAGACAACAACTGAATATAGACAACAAAAGATCTCGTCCCCGGGGTTGTATTCTTCACATTTTAGAATACTTATAGTGCGAAGATCTCTTTGAAATTTTCAGTATTTCTCAAAAAATCATTTTGACAGACTGCTATGCAAAGCGTACGGATCAGATAACAAGTAAATTTCCTCTTTCGAAAGTGGTGGCACAGAGTTCCCCACATCATATGGATACAATAGTAAAACACGACGTACGGATTTGGTTAAGCAACTTCATTGGCTGCTTTCACTGTATGCTTCCCGGGCAGCTGAGAATATTTCGGAGTGTTCTATGGTCTGCTGGGGTAATAATAAAGATTGCAAAGCACATAGAGCTTGCTGTTGAGCAGGGCTATGCGCTAATAATAATAAATAGCATTTGCATAGCACATAACCCCACTCTAGAGCAAGTTCTATGCGATTTACATTATATTATTACCCCAGAAGACCATAGAACACTCAGAAACATTCTCAGCTTCCTGGGAAGCATTCAGCACAAGCAGCTGATTAAGCGCTCAAACACTAACAAACTGGCAAGATCTTCTTTCACTGTCTATAGCTGAGTACCCATTCCCCCCTAGGTGAAGTGAGGAAAATCCGTGTAAAGTGCCTTTCATTAGGGCACAACGTCGGGTCCCTGACGAGATTCGAACCCACGACCTTACGGTTGTGAGCCTGAGAGCCTAACCACTAGGCCACCCACGCCATTTTGTCGACTATTTTCACCTACCATCTCTTCTGATCACCACACAAGCACTCTATACCTCACATGATGGAGACAATACAGGAACCTGGTTCCAAGGAAACTTTCTACAGCAAGTTCTACATCTGATGTTACATTCCACTATAATAATAATCATCATCATAATAATAATAATAATAATTATTATTATTATTACTGTAATCGTATAGCGCAAATTCCCACTCAACAGCAAGTTCGAAGCGCTTAACAATCTAATACTACTACTGCTATTACTATTACTACTACTTCTACCACTACTACTACTAATATAAAAAAGCATATGACTACATCTTACACTGAGCAGTCAAAATGTTTTTTGTCCATAGATTATTTGATAAAAACCAATCAGCTGATTTCATAAGAACCTATCAGCTGTTCAACTGTGCATGTCACTCTGATCACTAAATACGCTTCGTAATAAGGAATGTGTGGGCTTCCCGACTCACCCTGAATCTGTTCTCGGAGCATGTGTGCGTGAAGTCAATGAAGAGCTCAAAAGGTTTGTTGTAGAAAGGCTTGAGGGTGAGCAGGACATGGTAGATGAGAAGGTCGCCGTTGATCTCACCAACTCTGTACATGGGGAGGGGAGAGAGGGGAGATGGGATGAGAGGGGAGAGGGGAAGCGGGAGGGGGGGGAGAGGAGTACAAGGAGGGAGGGAGGATTTACAGAGGGGTGGATGGGATGGGAGAGGGGAGAAGGGGAAAGGGAGAGGGGGAAGGGATGGGAGAGGGGAGAGGGGAAAGGGGAGAGACGA